CCTATCAGACTCCCCTATTTAATCGTTCAGACCCTAAACCCTATATAATCCCATATAATAACCCTCTTTACGGAGTTTCAACCCTCAACCCTATATAACCCCTCATTATAATCCCGTTTCAGGACTTTAGAGCCGAACCCCTAAACCCTATATAATCCCGTGTGTAACCCTCCTTTAAGGAGTTAAGACTCTGACTCGAGTAAGGACGTACTGTGGCGACCCCGGGATGCCAAATTGGATCCCTAAATAGTAGTCATGCATGGCTTCGGGATCTTCCCAACAACGTCGTCCCCTTGACAGGATTCTCAGCAAAAGGGCTGATGTTGAGAAATACCCATGTCTACCCTTCTCTACACAGCTGTCGGCATCCGCAGAGGCCTGTATGAAAGGAGCCCTTTGTGGAGATATTCAAAGGCGAGGGAAGGTGGCACACTTGGACAAATCTTCAGAACACGTGAGCTCACGTGAGTTATTCTCAAAACTATGGGAACTTACAAGTACCGATTAGTATATGGCTCATGTCGGTCAGGGGAAACAACAGTGGGACCGGCATTTTGGGAATTACCCTCATGGCAGACTTGGACTTTTCGAAACAATGGTACTCCGTGGCATGTGCCTGCTACGCTGCGCAATGCGCTGTGCTGGTGAGACAAAGTTTGGCAGCTGGAAAGCTCGCCTGATACTGTGGACCTGCACCATCTGCCTATGACAATGGCGGTACGCTCGGCCATGCTGATCAGCGCTTGTTCCAGGCGTACCCGGCACGCCGGTTGGCCCTTCCAGCCCTGGCAGCTTTGAATCTTCCTGTTTCAGATTACATCCCTGCAAGCGATGCAGGCAATTTCCCTTTCTTGTAGGCGCAGACATGTCAAAACCTATTCCTGCATGCATCCCTCACCCTGCAAGATGCTATGTCAAAGCGCAACAAGGGTGTGCCAACTCTTCCAGTCTCCAGGGCATGATGCCAGCAGCAAACTCAGTTCCGGACGTGTGAGAGAGGCGTTGTCGAGTGTCCTGGCATGAGGGGGTTTGAAAGCATGAGGTGTGGTAGTAGTTTGCTTCAGTACGGCTGAGATGACGCCGAAACAGCTTATTGATGCAGCTTCAGCCAAGCACTACCGTACTATATCTGCAGCTTGCAATTCAAGCAATTGCGCATTCTGTCCACATGCTCACCGCTCATAGCGGTCACTGGCAAATGCATTGAGCACCCAAGAACGAAGCAGTGACAACTTAATCACCTTGACTCTGGTTCTGGGTTATTGGGGTCCACATCATGATCCACTGTTCTGTAGGAATATCAGGGAACCTGCGCTCAATCGAGAGTCAGATCATCAGGGCTACTAGCATCATCGGCTGAACCATGACCTTTGTCATGCATCGCCCACAGGAGTCAATGTCTAAGCAAGCGCCTATTGGACGCCGTCGCTCACTCCTTTGAGTGAGATTAGCATTGTGCTATGCACAGCCCCGCAAGGCATCTGCGGCGCCGTTGGTCCCTCCAAACTCCAGACATAGCATATTTGAGGTTTCGGGGGATGAGTGGAACAGCGCCCCATGATCTATCAATTCAGATGTCGCAGCGTTAGCTTCTAGCGGGAAGGAGTGATGAACATCCAGACCCTGACAATGAGAGTATGAGTATGAGTTGCAGCGCGTGCCTCCTAAACTGATGGCGTTTGCTTCGCGATGCTCATCACTGTATTACTAAGAGTACTAGTGAAATGACACTACTGCAAAATAGAATGACAGAACTCATAGACCACTAAAACAAACCACGGAATACGCTAAAATTGAGTATGTGACAAAAATTAGGCTCCTGCATACGTCCCAAACACTAAGGATGCACATGAATACAGGGCTCCCAAAGTAAGCACCACAACTCTTGGCACGGACCCATCTGAGTAGCGTTTTTTTGGTGGTTAAATCCAGTAAGATTATGTCCTTATAAAGAATACTATACCCGAAAAGGAGGAGATAATCTTACTCTATATTGGGTACCATAGTATCCCCAAATTAAAACTACTCATCTGAAGCCCACAGACCCAGCATCGTGAGGCGTGAGGTGTCCACTCAGCGACGCATTGCCGCACGCTTCACTGCCTCGACTGCCTGCACACTTAGAGCTCACGGCATACTTATCTGCTATACGTATATACACATGTATGAGTGATACTAGATGGCGGCATACTTCACCAAAGCTTGGGCCGAGGTACACATCCCCAAACAAAAAATTGAAAACTTTCTGCAGGAATGCCCCAGATTCCCTACAAAATCTCTACCTCATCCAAGGATTCCTCTTAACTGCCTGCACAGCCGAGAGACCCCTTCGCAGTCCCTGAACATCCTTGCCTGCAAGTACGTCCCCGAATAGACCATCCATGCCCAAACAGCCAAATACTATCCCTGCACATTCTTACGACCTCTCGTGCAACTTGTCTCTATTAGCCCCAAAGACATTCTTTTCTGAAAAGGCACCCATGTACTATTACTATTACTATTACTATTACTAGAACTAGATTACTATTTTTCTTATTACTTTTTTTATTGCTATTATTTTGCGTCTCCGAAGATCGCAGCCTGGCGGAGGCTCCTCGCCGAAGCAGCAGCTGAGGGCGCGCCCGCGGCCAGGGAGAGGTCCTGAAGAGCACTTGGATTTAGGGATTATGTTGGGGTTATATAAGGACAATGGAAGAGAAAAAGGAAACTACTATAATGGGCTTTACAGGGATATTAGGGTATATCTTGGGGTTATATAGGGATGATGGAAAAGAAAATGGAAACTACTATAATGGGATTGTATAGGGTTTAGGGTTTAGGGATTATGTTTTTGAGCCATAGTCTAAACTCCTAGTATCCACCTTTAATAACTCCTATAGTAGTCCCCTATATACTCCCCTATATAACCCCCTTTAAGGAGTTTAGATTCTGGGACATTTGGATTTAATGTCTTTTTTCTCGGACTTTTTTCCACCAGCTGAAAGTTGATGAAATGCCAGGAAGGGTCTGGAGTGCAGGGTTTACCCTTAGCACTAGAGAGTTTCTGGGTAAGGGGATACGGCTTAATGCTTGGGGCTTCACATTGTGGTTTAGGCCAACAATCTCCGATCTGATCTTGCAAAGGGCAAAGGCTACAAGAAGATTGGAACCAGTAGCTACGATGGCCCACAAACCTCAATGTACAACTGCTTGCTTTTGGGGTTCAGGTGGCTTAGGTTTTGGTTGCGAATACTTGGAGATCCATATGTGTGAAATCTTAACAGTGGTGGGGCTGGAAACTGGGGATATCTCAAGGGCTCCACGAGTTCTCAACCCGGTTATGGGGAGTTCTCGTCGTTGATGAGAGGAATGGATTGTGAGGAACATTCCAGGGAAGCATGGGGCAAGTCGGAGATGGTCTAGCTTGACTGTCCCTAGCTTCTTCTTAGAGGTCCTACGGCTAACGAAAGCCAAACATAAATTCGTCTGAGCAGCCTCTTGAAGTACCCTAGTAGGTAACTGTAGACCCTGATGCATACAGCCTGCATACAGCGTACTCGGAGGCTTAGAAATCCCATTATAGTAGTTTCCATTTTCTGTTCCATTATCCCCACCCCAATACATACCTAAATATCCCTATATAGCCCATTATAGTAGTTTCCATTTTCTTTTCCATTACCCTTATATAACCCCAAGATATACCCTAAATGTCCCTATATAGCCCATTATAGTAGTTTCCATTTTCTTTTCCATTATCCCTACATAACCCCTATATACTATAATAGTTTCCATTTTATTTTCCATTGTCCCAATATAACCACAATATACTATACTATTTTAGTAGCAACAGCTCCTCGCGGAACATGCCGCGTGTCCGCTTGCCAGTATCATCCTCGGCTGCTTCTCGGATCAGCCTCGCAGTGTTCGACAGCAGCAGTTGTACCAGACACCGTTCTTGGTACCATTGCTGCTTTGTGTTCAAGTTGGCTGGCGGATTTGTTGCTTTTGGTCCTCCTCCCAACAACACTACGACCACTGAAATGACCATGCACAAGGCACGCATGTCAGAAGGCCAAACGGCATCGATTCGCCGATGCAAAAAAAACTCTTGCAGACCTGCCAAATACTCAGGTTCCCTGTGCACTGAAACACTATAGCTGCCCATGGCTGAAACGAAACCTACACAAAGGAAAGAGGTTGGAAACTTAAGGAGCATGTGGTCCTCATAAAGTCTCTACCATCTTCACTCTTTTGAGGAATCCTTCAAGCCTGCATACTCGGCGGCTCCAGCCTCAACATGAATCCGTCCATGCCCCCAGTAGGTCGCCTCAGCATTGTGCCGGTGCACAAGCAATACCCTCCTCTCCAAGAATATGAATATATGGGTGGTTGTCAAAATTATGGTCCCTTTTTTGGGTACCCTAAATATTAGGGGCCGTATTACAATAGGGATCCACAAAGGGACCATAGTTTTGACAACCACCCATATATGTATATATATATATATACATAATTATTGTCAGATTCTCAGCTTAGCTCATGTGTACAACAGGGCACTACATAGGCTAAGCTTAAAAGCATAATTCGCATGGCGCAGACAGCGGGCAGCCTGCATCCTAATCCCGTGATGGGGGGAGATATTCCATCCCTGCTTTCAGGATGTGCAGGAGCTTGAGCTGCAGAAACAAAAAAAATCGTGCTGAGGCTCATGTAGGTCTAGAGGTCAGAAGGAAAGAGGATCAAATGAGAGGCCAGAAAGAAGGTCAAAGGAGAGCCCTACACAATCCTGGGACTTCCACAAATGGTTCTATCTCTTCACTACAAAGGACCCTGCTGCTTCGTTGAGCATGCCGAGCAGCGGCACCCAAACCGTGCGGCAGATGCGCTGCTCAGCTGCAGGCACCACCTGCGATGCTCGCTCCACTGCGGCAAGTGGAAGGAGCTTAGTGCTTCGTCTTCTATGAGCCACTGAAGTGTCATCAGAATCATAGCTTTGGCGTCAAGAGTACCGCCCACAAACGTCAGCGGTAGCAACAGCAGACGTCGAACACAACAACCTCAAGAACCTGAGTACCAACATGGAAGTGCATCGGGGTCTCTAGACAACCCCAACATAGGATCGGGAGGGCCGCGCAACACGGGGACCGCATGGTAAGCATGCGCTGAATCTGGCGAAGACACGTTTCCTGGGTCATCATCGACAAACAGCACCTGAGCGCACAGTGTCCCAGACTGGCCAGAGAGAGAGGCGGCGCAAATGGGGTTCGTATACCAGATGGTCGGGGTTTCAGTTTAAGGCATAACCCAAAAGAGTAGTTTCCATTGTTCCCTATGTAACCCCATATTACCCCATATTATGCCAATATCACCCTGTACATGTGGTATAATATTAGATAGTCCAGGCTTGTATAAATGAGCTTGCACAAGCTTAAGGGGTTATGGATCCGCTTAGCATCTTTGCGGTGTCAAGCCATTTTGTGTAAACAAGTCCAATTCGTTCTCCAATTCTACTCTACGTCGCATGCCCTGCACCAAACAAACGTGGGAACCTCTTTTTTGTTCACGGCCCTTTCGGGTTCCATGCTTGCTTTCATAGTGGAGTGTAGCTTGGTTGAGCTCCTGTCTCTCCTCTAGTCTGAACCAGAGAAGCCCACCTGAATGCCAGAACGTCCTCTTTCGCAAAGAAAATGCAGTTTCAAAGCTTTTGTATGAGAACGCTATCATGCTCATTGCTGGCAAAAGTCTCATTAGACATACGACTGTCCCCACATACCCTGTGCAGTTCAAAATGCCTACCAGTCCTGGAAACCAATGTAGCAGCGTAATGTCACAACACAGTAGGGCTTCTCTCAAGCTTGCACAAGCCCTCAAGACTTCTCACTCCAAATTTCAGACCCTACCGTTGACTAGCCGGCCACGACTCCCTTTTGTCAGAAACCGTCTGGGAGTTCCATGAAAGAAGGGCCCTTTGAAAGGATCTTCAGTGTAAACCTTCCAAAACACGGCCCGACAATTCTGAGAACCCGTAATTCGGGAACCCGTAACTCGGAGAATCCCCTGAGTGAGCCCCCTCTACAACTCTGCATGTTCTCATACATCCCCCAAAAGAACAGAAACAAACCAGGGTTTTCCCACTGCAAGCGCTTGGGCCTGCCATGCAGAAAGATTTTCGCGCCGGCGGAGCTCCTCGATGATGCGATCCTATGCCGCGGCTGGCTTACTGGTGCTTCATGGATTTAGGGTTTAACGATGAGTGTTCCACAAATATCCACCACTTTATGACTCTCTCCGGTTTGAAATACTTTTCAAGGATGTAGTGACAACCGGTGCTCTTGAGCAACACCCTAACACAGGATCAAACTACTTCTTTTTGTTCTGGGTCCCTCTTCAGGGTTATACGACTGATGTGAAATTACAATGGTTCTTTCTTGCGCTAATACTACGAGCAGCCAGTTGAACCGTCATGCTTGGGGTTGAGAAACACGTACAGGGATTCTCTAGGGTGCTCTTCTCAGAAGTTCGTCGCTTGATGCCTCCTAACTACAGAAGTGTAGGGAGCCCCAAGACATCCAGAGATACCTATGAGGTCTTTTGTTTGAACATCAAGCTTAAGTGCAAGTTGGCAAGATTAGCGTGAAAATCGGGGTCAGTGGATGAACCTCAGCCTGAATCCAAAGATACCCGGAAGAGGAATGGGAGACAACCCGCTTTACTGACCTAAACCCTAAACCCTTTATAATGCCATTATGGCGGTTTCCATATTCTTTTCCATTATCCATATATAACCCAAATAGAATGCTAGACGACAAGGTACAGGACTCTGAGCTGTAGCCTTGCAAGCTGCATCCCAAGCATGGTTATATAGGGATTAGATTCCCAGACCCGCGAAAGGATCCAAAACATGGAATCCCCCAAACATGATCCCATTACTACATTGGGGAACCCAAGGGATCCTTTGAGAGGCCTGAGTTGGGTTTATATAGGGATAATGGAAAAGAAAATGGAAACTACTATAATCGGGTTATATAGGGTTTAGGGTTTAGGGATTGGATTGGGGTTATATAGGGATTATAGGATATAGCTTAGGGTTATATAGGGATAATGGAGAAGAAAATGGAAACTACTATGGCGGGTTATATAGGGACCAGTCATTAGCGAGTTAGGCATCTTCTGACACAGTGGTGGGATTCAGTAACTGGCTGCAAGCCTTTTACCTGTACACCTTGTCTTCCTCCCTAGCCCGAACCCTAAACCCAAAGCCCAAACCCATAAGACCTTTTGCAGAAGCTGGCGCCTTCCTTCCTTGCTTTGCCTCGGACAGCGGATGCTCTCTGCCAATGACCTTCGCCGCTGAGGAATATTGAGCTACCGGCATTTTGGGTGGGATGATGTTGAGGATGTCTCACGCCAGCACTCCATTGAGTTGTCGCAGTGCAGACGCCCTTCACATGCCGCCTCATCTACGATGTCAAGATACCAGACAGAGCCTTGTAAGCTAAGCCCCCACCATACCGAAACCCTGTAGCCTTACAAATACTCCAGACAACTAAAGACACACCGAAACCCGAAGAATCCTATCGCAGGCAGCCTCTGCGAAGAACTTTCGCAGCCCGCCCTTGGCCAGGGCTGCATCCACCACTGAGCCGAAACCCGTCGTTATCACGATCACCTTCCTCTGAGGCGTCTGCCTGCAAGCGGACAGGCAGTAAGGGCAGGAGCAAGTACCGAAAAAGGAATGTATGTGAAACAAGAAACACAAAATGGTGCTCTTTTTTGATGTCCTTCCGCTCATTCTGATCGAGTAAAACCACAAAACTACTCAGCTGCACAGGATCTTTCTTGAAGGTACCGCCAGTCCCCAAAAGTGATTGCCCAAATAATTCTACCCCAGGTGCAGCGCAACCCAAACAGGACATCATGAAATCAACTCCTCCTTTGGACAGGATGCAAGAGGCTCTGGAAGAAGGCTTTCAACTCCTGTAACCTTGCAGGCCCACCATATATCCTGGCAGCGTGGAATGGCCATGAATGATTATTATTTCTAATATTACTACTACTGCTACTATTACTGCTATTATTACTATCATGACTATTACTCTTGTTAGCATTACTATTTCTACTTTCAGAAGAAACGTCCATTGCTTCGAGCAGGAAAAGGATTTTGGGAGTGGTCTGGAAGGAACTGGTCCACTGGTGGAGGCACTTTCTTCAAAGACGAGAGTTACATGCTCAATTTGTGCTACTAATAATGACTCTGCCAATGATACTGGCGAAACTCTCCGAAAACCAATGCTCAGCACAGTTAGCACAACAATATCCTTCTTTCATAACAGTAGCTAAGTGGTTCTTCTCACTACACCGTCCAAGCGTCCGGGATGGAAATTCAGGCTCTTCCCGACACTGAATCTCCAGCTTTGCTTTCTGTGAGGGGCCATCGAAGCCGCCCCGTCGGCAAAGCTCCTGGATGATCCGGGATGCCCCCAGCTCACTAAACAAGTCAGATTAGGGTTTAGGGTTTAGGGTTTAGGTTTTGGGGTTTAGTCAGATTGTAAAGGAAGTTCCAGGCATGTGTAAGATCAGTTTCTGTTGTATAGGGTACCCTGCTGGCGACACTGCTGGTAGCATCATCTGGACGAAGAGAAAATCGGATCACAAAAGAGTCGTTTGGTGCGTTGTCCCTCCGACGTGTGGTCATCCAGACCCAGAACCGGTCATGTCACTATAGTCCCCCTTAAATAGATAGCATATGGGGTATATGGGGATCTTCCTATAATATCCCCAAGACCATGTTCTATCTACTGAAGGGGGACTATACAAACATCAAACCCTGGAACTCATCCTGGCTAAGCCCTAACTCTCCAGGCCCATCACATATACCCTATTATTGGGGATATATTGGGGATAATGGAAAACAAAATGGAAACTACTATAGTACTATAGTATGTTGGGGTTCTATTGGGGATGCTGGAAAAGAAAATCGAAACTATTATAATAGAATAGAGACCCTATTATATCATACTAGTTTGCATTTTCTTTTCCATTATCCCCAATATAACCCCAAATATACTCTTGTAGTTTCCATTTTCTTTTCCAGTGTCCCACCACAGGCAACCCTGCACCTACACACCTTGGCAATTGAGTTTGCGCCTCGAAGACATGGATAGCGGCAATGGTGCAGTCGAAGTCGAAGCACAGGAGCAAAAGGAGCTCGCTGCTCGAAGATGCCCTGGGCTTCTCCCAGGAACTCTGCCCAGTGCTGCGGTTGAAGTAGAACTTCTGACCTGTGGTGTGATCTGCATGCTCTTCCCAATCACCTGTTTCCTTTGCTACAGCCGCTGGCTTGGACCAGGAAGACTCTTTGGTCTGGCTGTTGTAGTAGAAAGTCCGCCCAGAATCATCCACATGCTCTGTCCACTCGCTCTTTGCATCCACCGGCTTATGCCAGCTGGTCTCCTTGGTCTCAACATTGAAGTAGTAGACTTTCCCACTGGCTGGATCTCGGTGCTCAGTCCAGCCATCAGACCTTTTCGTGGGAGAAGCAGGTGGGCATGGGCAGGAAGTTGGTGAACCGGGTTTGGTCCAGCTGCTTTCCTGAGTGACCGGATTGAAAAAAAATCGACGGCCAGAGCCAGGATCCACATGCTCCTCCCATCGGGTCGGGGGTGGGGGCACAGGGCTGGAGGCAGCTCTTCCAGGTGGTGCAGGAGGCGGAGGAGCACTTGGCGTGCTTGGGGCACCTGGAGCACTTGGGGCACTTGGGGCCATGGGAGGTGGCAGTGGCTTCTTGACCACGGGAGCTGTGGGCTTCTGGTATCCGAGGCTTCGATGATCAGGTGACTCGCGACCTGGTCTCAACCATGCAGATTCCTTGGTCAAACTGTTGTAGTAAAAGGTTCTCCCGGAGTCTGGGTCCACATGCTCAGTCCATGGATCTGAGTGGTCTGGCTTGGAGGGATATGAGGGTAGGCCGTTTGAGCCGTGTTGAGCTGGCTTTTGCCAGCTGGTTTCTTTGGTTTCAGCATTGAAGTAGAACATCTTCCCACTTGCAGGGTCTCTATGTTCCGTCCACCCATCCGATTTCTTTGCAGATGGGTAGCCCGCTGCTCGAGAGGGGGGTTTTGTCCAGCTAGTCTCATTGGTGGCAGGATTGAAGTAAAACTTCTTCCCGGAAGCTGGATCTACATGCTCTTCCCAGTGTGTGGGAGGCGAAGCCCCCCTCATGGCCGGTGCTTCTAGGCAGCCGAGCCGAGCAAGCCCATGGCTCCAGCATTTCCCAAGTCTGACATTATCTTCCAGTGCTGAAACGACATAATGGGCTGCGAATTGTGCATAACAGATTGTGACATTCTGCCTGCATTACTGAGTACGTGACGTATCCAAGGTTCCGGGAAGTTTGCGTCACAAGCTATGCCATGGACGGGGAGATCCTATTAAAGCTCAGACAGGATACATCACTGCACAGCTCGGCAACATGGGCAGCAAGGCAATCTATTGGCAGTTGGATTCAAACGTGAGAACATGCGCGACAGTCTATATGGCTCAGGACCCAGAATTGTCAGAGATGTCTTGGCAACCAGGATACCGGAAGAACCAAGTGCTGCAGCCCTGTCAGAATGATGAATGGATGCGTATAGAAGAATAAGCGGTTGTCATAAGGAACTGGTGTCCCGAAGGACCACAGTCATGTGACAATCGTATCTAAGCCCTGCACAGTTCCGTCTTCATGCCACGCAAGACATTGAAGTCCTTACTATCAGGACTCCAGGACCCCTGCAAACTGCAAACAGACCCAAATTTGCCCGACCCTGAGAAATCTTCACCTGCTTCCTAGACCCCCCCAAACGAATTTGTCGTGGGCAGGTCGCATCTTTTTTGAGCTGAGGACAGATGAGCTGCAGCACGTCTGCACAGCGCAGGAGGTCCTCACGTGGAATTTCTGGATGCTAGAAAGGATTCCAGGGTTTATTGTAGGGCCCATGTTGGACCGTCGGACCTAGAGGTATTTTGACTGAGCATGGGAGCACTTGAGATTACGGCACCTAACAAACCCCAAGCGAATAAGAATCAAAAATATCCAGATTTGCCAAGAAGGGGCCTTTAACTTTGAAAAGCACCCATGGTGTATCAGCTGTCTGCATCAGTGCCAATTATTTGGGTTGTTCTCAAAACTATCGGCCCCTTTTGCTTATAGATTAATTTACGGCACCTAATACTGGGCGCTGGGGTTAAGTCAACGCAGGTTGTGTGAAGTCGGCTCTCCCCAAGCTCACGCCCAGATTCGCGCGAAGTCGACCCATCCGCAAAAAGTTGACTCACACACTGGTTTCTGCAAGTACACGCTGGTTTTGAAGGAACACAGCCCAACATGTCAAATCTGCGCGTGGCACGAGACTCTTCGCACAAAGTGAAGCAAATATGCACTGAAACAAACGAAAACTGCAAGTGCACGCCACATTCTAGTGGGAGCTACCCAGGCCTC